AATTGCAACAACGAGTTCACTGTCCCGTTGCTGGGTGGGTGTGGCCTAGTCAGCCTCCTGCACCACCTTCCCCAGGCTTCGGAGGTTTTCCTCAAACCTCCAGGAGGGTGAAAACTGTTTCCCTTGGGCTCCGGAGGCCCTCCAGGGGCTGGAACTTCCAGTTTTCGCCCTCCTGGATGCTCAAGGAAAGTCTCCAGAGCCTGGGAAGGGCGAAAACTGGAAGTTCCAGAAGTCCGGAAACGGGCCTGTTTCCAGCCCCTGCAGGGCCTCCGGAGCCCAAGGGAAACAGTTTTCACGCTCCTGGAGGTTTGAGGAAAACCTCCGAAGCCTGGGGAAGGTGGTGCAGGAGGCTGACTAGGCCACACCCACCCAGCAACGGGGCAGTGAACTCGTTGTTGCAATTTTCGAAACCCACCCCTGCACAAGGTAGAAAACCTCATGTAAGGCAATCAAAGTGATTAAATTAGGGGCTAAATTAGGTCCCAAAGAAGAAATTATCATGAAACAAAATTGAGTGAAGAAAGTACTCATACATGCATATAAAATAATGCATAATCTCAAATGTACATATATACACAGTGTTTCTACTAAATGATGAAGATCTATAGTCGTAAAGTAGAATATTCCTTCCCTCACCAACATCTCTTGTTAGCCACCAATTTTGATAGATTAAAATTACCCTGGGTCTCTCAGGGTCTCAAAGGCTACTAGTTTGCATGGCTACATTTGGAATCGTAGCCAGCAATGGAGCAGGAAGAGAACACACACTGCCCTCCTCTGTGTTGAGAATCTTAAAAGCATCCTGTTGGCATAATGAGTCACAGGATGCCATTTGACAAAGAGACTAAACAATATATTCATCGCATATTTTTCTCAGCTAAAACATGGGTGGTTTTAGTTACATTGACCACATCAGATATACACTGTGTAAAAATAGAGATTTCCTCCTTTTCCAGAGGAGTGGGTGTAAACCATGTAAAACCTCATACACAGAGACATGACATAACGTAACAGGTATGTCCCTCAACTATGAAAACTCAAGAGTATGTGGATTGTTATGCCATTCTGACAGACCCTAAAACGGTGATAGCTAACCCTTTTCTAAAGGTGTGCCAAAATTGTGTATGTGTGCGCTATTGTGCACGCAACCCCACCTGCGCATGCGTGCACAACCCCACCTACACATGCCTCCCGAAGGCCTCCCCCACCATCCGAAAGGCTGAAAATCAGCTGGCCGGAGCACAGATGCGCGCCAGAGCTGATGGCTGCCGTGCCAGCAAATATGCCTCCGCGTGCCACCTGTGGCACACATGCCATAGGTTCACCATCACAGCCCTAAAACATGGAAGAGGCAAGTATTATGGCTCCTACTAGAATGGAGATTCATAGCTGAAGTAGAAAGAAAGATACCATGGTGCACTTTTTGTCCTCACGTATTTATTTATGAAAAGAGGTGGGGTGGAATGCCTGTATCATATTTTTCAGAATATTAAAGACTTATTCAGATAATATTTAAAGGCATACATATAGTCCTCGACTTACAACAATAATTGAATCCAAAATTACTGTTGCTAAGTGAAACAGTTAAGTGAAGCAGTTGTTAAGTTAGTAACAACTTTTGCTCCATTTTAAGATCTTTCTTGCCACAGTTGTTAAGTAAATCACTGCAGTTGTTAAGTAAGTTACACAGTTGTAAAATGAATCTGCCTTTCCTATTGATTTTGCTTGTCAGAAGGTCACAAAACATGATCACATGGTCCCAGGACACTGCAAGCGTCATAAATATGAGTCAGTTCCAAGCATCTGAATTTTTATCATGGGGATGCTGCAACCGTCATAAGAGTGAAAAATGGTTGTAAGTCACCTTTTTCAGCGCCGTTGTAACTTCAAAGAGTCACTAAATGAACTGTTACGATTTGAAGACTACCTATATTCTTTTCTGTACGGCTAACTAATGAACATGCTACAATATCAATTCCATGTGCTTTTGATAACCGAAGCCAATGCAGCAGCACATCATTTGCAAAAATAAGTTTCACGCATAAGTTACTTATCAGGATTGAGTTTTGTATTCAAAGGAATTCGGTAAAAATGTCATTCTTTTTGTGATTTTGAATAACAAATATAGCCCTATCATTTCTATTAGCATTTCAATTCATATATAATATTAAACAAGGATTATAAAGTCATTATTGCCAAATGAGACTTAATGGACTTGCTGACATATCATATGAAGCCATAATGGGTGGGTTCAAACATCTTCTCTAACTAAACTGTTTGTCATTTGACAACTTAGCCAGTGATAATTAGTCTTACAGAGTGGGTGGGAAATAATAAATGGACACTTTATAAATTTCTCTTTATCCAGTTGGTAAAAAGACATGCCACATTTTCAGTCATCAGACAGGGAAGATTTTTTTATGCTGCCTGCCAACATACATGGAATCTGCATCAGTGCAGTTAACTTTAATATAAACCAGGCTAACATGTTTTTCATGAGTTAGTTTTTGTTCATCATAACATGCCAGAAATTCCTTTCTTAATGCCTCAACCAATGTTTAACAGAAAAAAGCTAAAATCTGTTTGCATATTATTATGTAAATATTGTTAACATATATCTCACAGACAAAAAATAAATAAATAACAATAAAATGTATAATAACCAGCAGGAAAGTTCTGGATTTCAGAATTTTTGCTTATAGAAATTTTGTTAATTTTTAAAAATACATGTGTGCATTATTACACTCACAATTCATTGTTTTACCAAAAGAGAGAGAAATTTCCTGTAGTCCATCACATTGTTACTACACCAAAAGAGTAAAGAGGCATTATATGATTGCAACTTTAACAGTTTCAGTCTTGCACTTAAGGATTTAGGGACTATGGCCTAGAGAGCATATTTCTTAATGTTTTGCCAGCAACTAAAGGAAATATATTCTTTAAATCACAGTTATTAAAACCTGAAGCTCAACATTGCTGAAGAGCAGTGGTGGGTTGCTAATCCCATTCCAACCGGTTCGGTTGGAACGGGGGCGTCGTCGTCCTCGTGCACGCGCGCAATTCACGCATGCGTCTTAGCATCTGCGCGATGCTCCAGCTGCTCACGGAGAATCGCGCAGGCGCTGTATGTGCCATGCGCCTGCGTGGAAGCACAGAAGCCTTCAAAGACCAGTAAGGAACGCGGGCGGGCAGTGGGGCCCTTGGCCGTTCCCGGACGTTACTTACTTCCGGGTTCGCCGACCAACCGGTTCGTGGGGACCGCCGCGAACCGGTTGAAACCCACCCCCTGCTGAAGAGATATCAGCAGTGAAAACTCACACCAGTTTCTTTGCTGCTTTCTGCTTTCTACCTTCAGAATGTAAAATTCTAGGAAGTCCATTTTACCTCATTCCAAAAAGGAAATAAAATTGGACACTGGGCTTCAGAGACATATTGATGAGAGGAATGACAAAAAATGAAGATGAGTAACATGTAGCCTGATATATTTTTTTGTTATCACATTAGTTCAAAGTTTACATTCGGTTTCAGTTTACAAAATGCACTGCTAATTTCCTAGAGAAGAGCAATTAAAAACATTTTATTTTTTTTTATGTATTAAGACAGCTCAGAAATAAGAGGTCTACTTGGTTGTGAAAAGGTGTATTTCTGGAAACAGATATCTTTTACTCACTCTTGGGCCTCGCTTTCCTGCTGGGCCAGGTAATCCTGGAAGGCCTGGGGGTCCCTAAAGGGGAAATGAAACAAAATAAAATATGAACACAAAAATCCAGCATAGGAATTACTATCTTAAAATTTGTCTTTCCGAAATTGAAATTATTGATTAGTTTAGTTTCTCTACTGAAAATAGATGTCCTACCTACAATATATTAGTTTAGTTTCCCTACCTACAATAGTTTCCCTACCTACAATATGTGCATAGAATTTTTGACATTATAAATTACATTACATACCACAATGACTAACATGTGCCTTAGAAGAACAGCAACAGTGGTTAGATGACTCAGATAGTAACTTCTTGTTACTATCTAGACCAGTGTTTCTCAACCTTGGCAACTTGAAGATGTCTGGACTTTAACTCCCAGAATTCCCCAGCCGGCGAATGCCAGCTGGGGAATTCTGGGAGTTGAAGTCCGGACATCTTCAAGTTGCCAAGGTTGAGAAACACTGATCTAGACACAGTACTGAGACACAGTATTTATTAATATAAAATAGCAGTAAGCAAGAAACTTCAGTTAATGACCACTACAGCGTGGTTTAGATTGTAATTAAGTTATCAAGGACTGAAAATAAGAAAAGATATATAAATTGATAGGCCATCAGCCTTGCATCTATTTATTTGTATCGGAATAATATAAAAAGACGAAGATCATGTAAACTGCAAACCAATAGCCTTTATGACAGCCACCTATATTGGTGACTGCTTGATTGGTTAAGCCAAGATAACTTGATAGACATGCGAGTTTTAAGATAGAGTTGGCCAACTTTGGACCACTTCTTAATTTTATACATATCCTTATTGAAAAATACACCAACAAAATTAGAAATGCCTTTAAATCGCTATAGCTACATAGAGCTGATCAAATGTACAAACTGGCTAACCATTTCCAGAATATCTACAGGAATAACAAGAAGTCTGCAAACACTCATGATCCTATTGTAAAGAAGGACATAAATTAACAAAAAGTAAGGTTTTAGCCAGAAGATCACTGAAACAGTTGGCAAATAGGCAGGGCACCAAATGAGCAAGCTAAGCTCTAAAAGTATTTAGGGATGGTTGACCAAACTGCATCTCTAGAAAAGACACTTATAAAATATACTGTCAAGAATATCCAATGAAGTGTTGTTGCTATTTTAATACTCTTTTGGTACATCTGGGAACATCACCTTCAATTTTGTTGATAGAAAGTAATTAATTTGCTTTATGGAGCTCAATATTTTTTTAGAACTGAAGGCCAATCCAAATCCCTAAAGCCTATCACCACAATTCCTGAATTTGTGCCAAATTCAGTCTTTTATTTGGAGATGGAGTTAGAATTGTAATACAACAATCATTTTCATTGTGGTCTGATGTAATAAAGGCAAAGCAGATAGGAATGAAAAGTATAATTAGCTGCCAAATTATATTAAAGCTGCACAGATTCAATCTTGCAGAAGTCTAACTAAAATAACTACATTTTAAAAAATATACTAGATAAGGCACGACCCACTGGATCATCGTTTCAGTGATATTCCCTTACCAGATCCCTCAATACTTTTAACAATGTCAGGATTTCTAACATGCTGCCTTCATTGGGAATGTTGGGATACATTCAGAGGTGCATCTGCCTTGAAAATAGTCATGTTGAGTTTCTTAATACAGACATTTTTCAGTCATTACCAAGCTGATAAATTAATATAAGTGGTTGTAACCTTACTATAAGAGATACAGGAATGCAATCACTTTCTCTACTGAACAATCCTTCTTTCTGAAATGGCGTTGTCCATAAATATTTGGAAGCAATTTAATAGATTACAATGAAAATGAACAGAATTAACTGTGGTCCTTGTTTCCTTCAGTCCTCCCCACTCTTTTTTAGGATGATGGGGAATTAGCAATCATGAACTATTATAACTGATTCTACAAATCATAGGAAAATTTCTGGCTTCTCCATTTATTTGATTGTTTTTGGTTGGTTGGTTTTTTAAGTCTAGTGCAATTTTTTTTACTTGATTGTAAGCAATAAAGCATCACACAAAATTCTATACCCAAACAGACACATACAAAAAGAGTATGAATTAAATGCATGATGTTCGTTTGGTAGAGAACTGATAGTTTCATAAATGTATATAAATAGAAAAAATTCTTCCCAGCCCTTCTGTCCTTAGGAACTTTAAAATTAGCAGCCATTCTAGACTTAGAATGCTTAGAATCCCGGATCACTTGAATGTATGGAACAGAAGCAAAGGCAGCATCAAATGAGCATGCTAACTGTTCATAATGCCTGAGCAGGCCTGTAAAAGTTGCCACTCTTGTCTATTTACTCTAAGAATAAGCAGAGTAGGCACTAGCCATGTTCACATACCAGGCTAAGCCAGAATTCTGGCAGCAGGAATAGTTAAAATAAACAACTGAAACTCATTTTGTGGTTGATATAACACCCAAATAAGCAAGGAATTTTTTGGCACCTAATCATGGAGAGAAACCACGCAGGGTGCCTGGCACATATATTTTACAAAACATACCATGAAAAGAGCTTTATAAAAGTTTAAAATTTATTGCCCCGAAACATCTAACATCATACATTCCCATAACCAGTAGACATATTTCAGTGTTCCCTGGTTATGGGAATGTATACACCAGTGTAAGCATTGTGTTCCTTTCATATTTTTCAGGGACAAAAAAAATATTTTTTGGGAATATAAGATACTAATATAGAGATTTTTTTTAGTTTCTAGTTTTGCACTGAACAATTAACATTCATAATTATTGATGTGCATGTTAAATATTCCACCATGTTTTTTTGGTCCAATACTGAAGCAACTTTACTTTAAAACACCTTATGGTTAGCAATGATGTGATACTTCTGATAAATGAAGCTGAAAAAGAATTTTGGACAGTTACTTATTTGAACCATAAATATACTATAGGAATTCCATTATGTAAAATAAGTTAGTTGTATTTGCATATTGTATTTGCATATTGTTCTTCAGGTGTGTGCATTCATAGTTGCACACATATAAAGATACATGAAGCATCCCTCATGACTACTATGATAAAGATTCTAAAGTTTCATTTGTGCAGAATGGAAAAGGAATATATAGTAAAAGGTCATTATGAAACAAACAAAATGTTAAAAAGTTATATTTATGTAGTTACTTACTAAAAACATCTAAATTATATTAAAGTAACCAAAGTATCTTTACAATACCCAAGGCATGTCACAACTTTTGAATACTTGCAATGTTTGTAAATTGAAAGCTGAACAAATTGACATTGGATACATAATGTGGATTGTTTGAAAAGACATTTATCAAATTATTTGGATTTTGGATTGGATGAATTAGCCATTGTAGTTTCTGAACTACAATGTATAGCTTACTATATCATATGAATTAAGTTACTGTGGTTTATTCAATGATATATGGTTAAAAGAAACCATAGTTTGGCATTCTATGAAAAACCAGTCGCAGAATCTTATGGCACCAAAGAGGCTGACAACTTAACAATACACAGATTTAAAAGCCAATAAAATAGCAAGCCTCATGAAAAGAATACAGTTGAAAGCAGCCTAGATCAGTTACAGTAATATCAGTAGTTCATGGAACAAAAACATATTTAGAGGAGCAAGCAATGGCTATATATGTTCATATAATATGCTAACCCAGGGGGTCTAAAACCTTAAACACGCAAAATGCCATTTGGACCTTTTTCCCACAGAAAACACCGGGAGCCACAAAAACTGGGTGGGCATGGCCAACTCGACATCACTCACTCCCACCCAGTCACATGACACCCCCCAGCCACGCCTACCCAGGTTTTGTGGCTCCCGTTGTTTTCTTTTCTGTGGGAAATAGATGTGTGTGTGTGTGTGTGTGTGTGTGTGTGTCCCCCTCCCTCTGTCTCTCCCTTTCTATCTGTCCCTCTCTTTCTCTCTCTAAGATTATGGGTCAGCAGCTAACCCATAATCTGCTTAACTTTGTTTTATAGACTAAATCAAAATTAGTTGTGGTCACACAACAGCCATGGTTTGCAAACCACCCTTCTTTCCGTCCCTCAGCAGAAAATCTTTTTGCACTACCTGTGCAGATCACCCTTGTTTCCATTGGCCATTATGCATTTTTTGCTATCAGAGGTATCAAACTCTCTACAATCTCCTGACATCCTCCCAAGTGCACAGCCTTAAAAGCTTCCTTAATTCCTTTGTCCTCTTCCTTTTGTTTTTTGTTTCTCTCTTATTTCGTCTTTTACAGTAATAGTGCATTTTTTACTACATTATCCTTGCTCTTCCTTTCTCCTCAAAAAGCAATATTAAAGGAAGAGGATTCCTCCAAGGCATGACAAAAGTCTTTCCCCTGCCTTCTAGCTACAAAAATAAAGTTAGGCCTTTCTTGTCAGTTTCTTCTTTAATGACTGAGAAGAAAATTGCTAGCTTCTGAGCATGCTAGTAACTCTATAGATCAGGGGTGTCAAACTTGCGTCATCACGTTGTCATCAGGTGACATATCATGACTTTTTTCTCCTTCACTAAAACGGGGGTTGGCGTGGCCAGTGCATGAAGCATCCAGCCCACGGGTCGTAAGTTTGAATAGATGCATTTACATGGAAGCCTCTGTAGAACAGATCTACAAGGTTTCAGAAGATTAATTTCTCAACATTAGTTCCCCAGGTACCCAATAATCAGGTGCGCTAAATCTGGGCTGAAACTATTTTGTTTTTTTTAATTCTGGCACCATTTTCAAGTAGGCTACATTCTTCTGGCTTGCTTTTGAGTTTCATTTCTTCAGCCTTTTGGATGAGAAGCAAAGTCTCTTCAAGGAAAACCAAAGACAGTCCAGTTGCCTTTTGCAAAAGCACCTTTGGGACAACCATGGCCTAGATGCAGTGGTGGGTTCCAGATCCCGTTGCAACTGGTACGGTTGGAACGGGCCCGGCAGCGTCCACATGGACGCACGCAGTGCACGCATGCGTCTTAGTGCCTCCGTGAGCCTCCACGATGCTCCAGCTGCTCCGCGGAGCATCGCACAGGCGCTGTATGCGCCATGCGTGGGCGCAGAAGTGCAGAAGCCTTAAAAGACAGATAAGGAGCTCGGACGGGCAGGTGGGCCCTCCGGAGTACCAGAACGGAACAGTATCCGGGGCTCCAGGCAGGCTCCAGTACATCTGTACTGGGGGGTACCGCCTGCAACCCACCACTGCCTGGATGACTAAGAATCTTCATAGACGTGAGGCTGGATCATTTCAGATTTTTTCTAAAGTATCAGTTTTCTAGGAAGACTACAGAGGTATGAATCTATAAACATATTGGGTGGGAATTCATGGAGACGAGGTGAAAAATTCCCATCTAACTTTCATGTAAAGAATATTGCCCTGGTCTAATCGATTCTATATTCACAATATACATTTACCATCACAAAAAAGAATTAGGCATCAGAAGTAGAATGGATTGAGGAACTTTTATCACTTGAATAATGGCTTTTAATTCATGGGGAAAACAATGTAGTCCAGTTTTACTTAGCCTCGTGATCTCCAAACTCTAATATTTTGGGGGGACAGCAGTTCCTTATTTCTGGTTCTTTGTTCTATAAACATATCTCTAGAATTTCCAGGAAATCTATCTACAACAAAATATTCATTGTTATAAAATACCCAAAGCCCAGGTTATTTCTCATCTTACCACTATTAGCAAAGAAAACTGAAATTACAGGAAATTCCTGCATTATAATAACCTTGGTAAATCCCTGTAATGTGGCTGTAGAATTCTTATATTAGATACCATAAATGAAAGCCACTTACCACCTGTCCAGGATCTCCTTTAGACCCCTTAAGATTTTCCATGTCAAGTAGTCTCTCCCATTCTTCATAATCATAGTCATAATAAACAGCATCAAATTCATAGTTGCCTTCTCCATTATAAATCTCATCAGTCTGAACTGTATGCTCATCCCATGAGCTAAACCGATTAATTAAAGGTTCGGAATGAAAATCCTCATACAATGTTGTATTTAAAAACTGATGCATATCCATTCGTTCATATAAATATGGCTTTGATGTATTTTTCATCATATGTTTGTCTTTAGGCTGCTTTATGGAAAACAGCAAATTGGAATTCGCTTTTCTTTTTATATTTTGTTTCACAGGGTCTGTATGATTTAAAGTTAATTTTGTTAGAGGCAAGGAATCCCCTTTCCTTTTGCTAACATAATGTTGATGTTCTTTGGAGACATTCACAATTTGCTCGTCATTTGGTTCTGACAAGGCAGTAATATTCCCTAAGGAAAGAGGAGTCAAGGAAGAAGTTGTCTCCATCAATTCTTGAGGATCTTTGACCGATGCTGACTTACTGATAGGAAGATTTAGTGTACCTTTTCTTTTGTTTAATGGTTGAGTTACTTCGTCCAACAGCTTGCTTGAGTCTACCACGCTTGGAGAAATTGTATGAGATCGGTATGTATCAGCTTGGCGACACTGTAGTTTCACATATTTACAATAGTTTGTCAAGGCTTGTGCAGAGGGGATAATATCCAGCTGACATAACACACCTTCAAAGTTGACTGACTGGGGGTTCATTCTTCCTAAGGTAAATAAGCTATGTGAATCAAACTGTACTTTGGAAAGAATCTCCTTGCTGAAGTGTTTCCTTCCACATTGAGTAAATAGGGAGACCGATTTTTCTGTAACATCAATAGCAAATGTGTGCCACTGCTCGTCGTGAACCCGATAATCAAAGTATACAGAGTGCTTCCCTCCAGTGTGCACCATTATCTTCCTTGGTAGCAGCTGTATACCAAACTGGAGTCTATTTTTATTCCTAATACTGAAAAGAAAGGCATTGTTTACTCTGTAAGAGCATAAGCTAATTACTATGGCAAAATTGGAACCGAAGGCTGCTGCTCCCACTTGAGAGATGGGAACTTCAATGGCCGTCTGAGTGGATAAAAGAACTCCAAATGCAGTTAGTTGAATCCCTTGAGGTGATGAAGCATGTGACAAGTGTATCGTAGACCCTGTTGTTGGATGATGCATAGCTTGCCCACTTAGGCCTAAACGATGGAGAACATCTATGCCTAGAAAAGAAAGAAAAGGAGGTAAGAAAAACAGTGCTTGATTAAATTCACTCATGTAGTTTATAGCAATTCTTGCAAACTGCTGCACCAGTTTCACAATGGCACCGTTTGGTAAAATGCAAATCAGTCACATGTGGTTCTACAACATGCCTGATTCCTACCAACATAGGACAAAAGAATTGTGCAGATACTAGTACAAACACTCATCAGTTATGTATGACATAACTTTAGAAAATGAGATAATAGGTTCTTACATGGGCTTGCATCCCACTATAATGTTATTTCCAGATGGCTGACCATGACTATGACCTTTATATGAGGATAATAATTCCTCTAATGACTGCCAGAAGGAAGACTGTGTTAAGCCTGCTACAGCAAAAACAAGAGTGTTAAAGATGAATCAATATTAATCCACAAGGTTTTATAGAGTTTATTTCAGCAGAAGCAATCAACCATTCCATTTTCTTCCCAACAAGATTTACATTGATTTTTTCCCCTCTAATTTTTAACTTTTTAAATGGGATAACTTAGCCCATTCATTTCCAAAAATTTTGTAAAAGTTGCTAGCTTCCTAGCAATACTTTTATCAAACTTCCTTATTGATAAAAACTATGTTTGGTAAATAGGAATTTAGGCAGTACATTGATAATAAAAGATTAAATTTGAACAAATAGTAACCAACAATAATTTTGACATATTTTTAACATTGCTAACAATACATCTTAGAAAAATGTGTGATTATGTGAAAAATGAATATGTATATTTTACATTTTGAAGTTTTAAAGATTCTTCACAAAATAAACACTGATGTCTCTTTCTTTATACCAGTAGCAAATTTAAGATGTTTCCAGAAAAATAGATTTGTCTATCTCTCCAAAGCAAACTAAATAAAATTCAAACTTTGTTATTTTCAGTTATTAAAATGTTAATTAAAGCCAATGCCAAGCAAAGTATTTTTCCTTTGTGATGCATCTATGTTTAAAACTAAAAAGTTTAACAGATACATGTGTCAAAAGACGTGTCAAAAAATTAAATACAAGTGACTTAATTTCAAAGATTGAATACACTCTATACTTATCAAATGAAAATAAAATGTATTTTCTCCTTCTACTCCAAGCAATTAGACTAAGCAAATATAAGATTCAATGTATGTGAGACATGCTGAGCCTGCAACGGAAAGCAAAAAGAATTGCATATTATAAAAACAAAGGGGGTTGTGATTCCTCTCTCACCTAACTCTAAGGAAAAATAAGTTATGTTGTCATGCTTCATATAGCAGAGGAATGTTGCTAAACTACAGGACTTAGGCAGATCTTGTGGAAGATCAAAATTAGCTCTGAATATGTCCGTTTTCATGATATCAACTGTCCTGGTATTGTTACAGTAGATCTAATACCAGCTTCAAAATCACTCCCTATACAAAATAATTGTAATGATTTTTATTTATTTATTTATTTATGCCCTTGAAAAGCCTCAGATCTGCTTCTAGATAGACTGCTTATATTTGTATTTGTATTTTATTATTTGTATGCCGCCCTTCTCCGNTCCAGGGACTTGAAGGAGGCTTTCAACATGTCTTTGTATCGCTTCCTTTGTCCCCCATGCGATCGCTTTCCTTGAGACAGCTCACCATAGAGGAGCTGTTTGGGGATGCGATGGTCTGGCATCCTTGCAACATGGCCTTCCCAGCGTGTCTGGGCTTTCATCAGCAGGGTGTGAACTGATGGCAGGCCTGCTCTGGAGAAGACTTCTTTGTCTGGCACCTTGTCCTGCCACTGGATCCTCAGTATTCTACGGAGGCAGGTCATGTGGAAGTGGTTCAATTGCCTAGTGTGCCTCCTGTATACAGTCCAAGTCTCACTGGCATACATGGAACTGCCTGGTTTGTTCAGATACATTAAAATGTACACAAGATAGGGAGGCTGTGAAGAAGTCCCAGAAATTATGCAAAGCTACTTATTAAAACCACATTAAGTCCTAGCATCCAATTCTATGAGTTATGGTAGTTTAATAATAATTCATAGGATCAATCAACATTTTAGCCTGAAAAATAATTTGCAAAATTACTTCTTGGGCTCAGGCCAGGAACCCCAGAACATAGCATTTTAGCATATTAGACTAAAATTATGAAAAACCAATTATTCATCAGCATTAATACAAGTTGAAGCAAAAGCCAAAACTGAATAAACAGAAGGATTTCCACAGACTTTTCCAAAAAATTCAGTCTAATTTCTGAAGTTGACTTCCTTATGTTTACCAAAAATATTACTAGCAAATGTTAAGTACTGAGTACTACTGACACATTTTTGTCTCCTTTTCTAGTGTGTGTATAAACAGACATACTCATATATATTCACACAAATCCCTTACACTTTTGGAATTGTCAATGAATATATAATGATGTACTTACCCCTTCTGAAAATTAGTTACATGCTTTTCTATTAAGAGGCTGTTAAATAATACTTAGGGGTGTATTTCACAGTTGACAAAGAGCCATCATACTGTATTCAGAGGCAACGGAAGACGTATCATTTGAATGGGGAGATCGCATTATATATTTTCCAATTCCTTGGGATATTTAGGCATAAAATAAATTTATTTAAGCCTTAATTTGTGAAAATTGCACAGAACTGGTCATGCTGTAATTCAAAGTGTCATTTTTCCCCTTATGGCGTGGAAAAAAAGATTAGAAATAAAGTCTGGACTCTAACAAACACAATAATGTTTTAGCTTCATATTTTTCAGCGGGGCCTATATTTCTCATAGAAAGCCAATTTGATGTTAAGCCATTAGGAGCCAGGAGACTGTAAATTCTAGCCCTGTGTTAGGCACAAAGCCCATTAGGATGACCTTGTGTTGTCATTTTCCCTTTGCCCTAAGAAGGAGACAACGGCAAAATGCTTCAGAAAAATCTTGCCAAATTGCAGGGACTTGTCCAGACAATGTTTGGAATTGGACATGGCTGAATGCAAAAAAGAAAGGAATCTCTCACAGGATTTTCAGAGTTTGAGGAAAAAATCACTAGACAGGGAATTTCTGAGTGGAAAAATAAGCACTTTTTACTTTATTTTACTCAGTGCTGTGAAAAAAATGGAATGTGGGTTAGACAAGGAGGTTATCTTGTTGTTGTTTTTTATTAGTATGATTGGTGGTTAGTTGTGAAGTCATGTACGATCCATCACAATCTCATGGACAACGTTCCTCCAGGTCTTCCTGTCCTCTCCCATCCTCTGGAGTCCATTTAAGCTCACGCCTACTGCTTTGGTGACTCCATCCAGCCACCTCATTCTCTCTTGTCCAATTCTTCTTTTGCCCGCAATCTTTCCCAGCATTAGGCTCTTCTCCAGTGAGTCCTTCCTTCTCATTAGGTGGCCAAAGTATTGGAGTTTCAGCTTCAGGATCAGCCCTTCTAATGAGCAGACAGGGTTGATCTCCTCTAGGACAGACTGGTTTGATCACCTTGCAGTCCAAGGGAGTTGCAGGAGTCTTCTCCAGCACCANATCTAATGGGTCTGTGGGAGGTAATTGGCAGCAGGCGGTCTCTCAAGTACCCAGATCCAATACCAGTACCAGTGGTAGTTGTCTGATCATCACATTTCTGTCCCTCATTGGTAGGAAGTCTATATCACAACCTGCATTCCAAGGTGTGTGTTGTTTTTTCTTCCACTCTATGTTCAGACATCAGCTTGACTTGAAAATGTTTTAGAGAGATCAGGAAGTAGAAATACTGTGATAGGAAAGTGCCCATCACCGAAAATCTCAGATGTCTCCCTCCTTTCATATAGAATGACAACAGAAGCTGAATACAATCTTAAAAGGAAGTAGTCAATTTTTTAAACTACAAGGTGAGCAGGGAAAGGAAGTTGAGCTCTTTCTCAACCACATCTTTTTTTCTTCAGGAGTCTTTTCACTGCACAGATTTTTTTCCCCTAATCACAGAGCCCCTTTAAAGAGTACCTTTAAAGTGAACTTTTAACAGGAAGAGAAAAAAAAACACCGGTATAAACTCCTGCATTTTTGCCTAACTCATTCTTAACTTTAAAGTATCCTCCAAACAACTTTTTAGGGAATGAATAATTATTTGAACTTTAGGGAATGAATAATTACTGAATTACTCAACCTTTGCAAGTTTAAGATGGGTGGACTTCAACTCCCAGAATTCCTGAGTCCCAAGACGGCCAAGGTTTAAACTTGCCAAGGTTGAAAAACATTGGATTATTCAGTCCCAGTGAGTGGAAATGCTATTTTCATGCCTGGTTTGTTCTGATGCATTAAAACGTATAAAGAATAGGGAGGCTGTGAAGAAGTCTCAGAAATTATGTAAAGCTACTTATTAAAACCACATTAAGACCTAGTATCCAATCCTATGAGTTATGGTGATGCTGTTCATCCATCGTGTTTGAAGAGGACCTTGACATCTAACAGGTTGTAGGTTGTCCACGATGTCTCTGCAGGTAGCTGGTAAGGTCTATAGTATATGGGCATGAAATGTTCTGCCACATGTCGGGCAGAAATGTGTGAGCACCATTGTTGCAACATTTGCAGCTCTAGCTTTGCGGAGTGCTCGTTTCTCTTGTTCTATGGTTGTTCCTCTGCCCTCAGATGTCTGGCATCCTTGGTGGATCAGCGTGGGCCATGTTGAACGATCTTGTGCCAGGGTTTCCCAGGAGATGGTGTCAATTTCCAGGGACTTGAAGGAGGCTTTCAACATGTCTTTGTATCGCTTCCTT